AAAGGGTGTGGATTTAGAGTGTGATTTTAGGTATTTTTACCCAGTCTGTTTGGTCTGTTTTAACACAAGACTCTTGTATGATTGACACCACCCTGGTTAAAGGTGCTATGGGTATTTCTCATTACCTTTGCTTGTTTTCCCCTTGTTTGGACTTGTCCTCAGACTGCCAGTAGGCAGCCAGATCAAGACAAAATCACTGTTTGTCTTTGTGTATACTTCAGTTAGAATATGATACTCTTATGAGTTTAGTGTCTTTCACTGTGAAACATTAGACTCTTATCAAGCAGATTCACTTTTTTGCAAACTGCAAATGCCAGATATCTGAGCTCATGATAAAGCTGCCCCTAAACCCACTGTCAGCAAGAATCCTGTGTGAAGCAGTAATAGCACCTAAAGCTAGGACTCCGAAAGCTTTCTGTTCAGCACTTTGAACTTCCATCAGCCATGTTCAACAGTTTGCTGTCCTAATAACACAATCAAACATCATGGAATCATCTTTTCCACCTTGGTTATATCAAAGGTTAGGGCTTGGGCTGGCTACTAGATGAATGACAGATGTTCTCTATTAATCCTTTTGCATTACCAGAGGGGAAGAGAAAGGAAATATGGAGAGAGACTTACAGATTGGAAAACTGAAACAGCTTTAATGAAAATAATAAAATTAAATACATACAAATACATAAAAAATCAACATTGAAACCTTCACCCTCTGATAGCAGTTATGACACTGTCACCACTGAAGCTGTGGAGCAGGCCCTGGAGAAGTCCCAGACTGGACTCAGCAGCAGATGGGAACCAGCACACACAGACTGGGATCCAAGGCAGAACAGGGAGAGTCTTCCTTGGACTCCAGCCATTGAAGAAGAGAGCTTGACCCTCATGACCCCTCAGCTTTATACTAATATGAGAGCTATAGGATGGAATGCCTCATTGGTCAGCTTAGGGTCACCTGTCCTGTCTGCTCCTCCCCACAGGTATATCAAGAGCCTTTCTGCATACTGATCCTTGGTAGTAACTCTAGACGTCGAGCATTATCACTGCTATAAACAGCCACTGTCTGCAAAAATATGCTGCTAACTTCAGAAAGTGCAGTTAGTTAGAAGAGACTGAGCTGGGAAGTAAATCACAGGACAGAACTGTCTGTTCTAGCTCAAACCAGGGCAGGTTTGCTGGAGGCTAGGAGCATACTCAGATGTGTGAGTCACCAGGAACTTGATCACAATGCATGAAGCCTAAGGGAGTGTTTGCTGTGCATTTCCAGCTGATTTTAGTACATGAAAGTTTTTGTCACACCTGCATGTACATGTTTTGAAACACTTTCAGATGGTTGCAGTAGCTCCACAAGTTTGTTTTTTTTTAAAAAAAAAAAACATTATGGATGTAACAGAACTGTAGGAAAGTAATTGCATGCAGTATTCAGTAAAATATGAAGGGTTGAGATATAGAGGGGGGGGTATATATATACACATATTGCTGTTGTGGTTGAAGCCAGCAGGCAGCTGAACACTGCCCAACTCTTTTCTCCCTCCCCCACCGTGGGATGGGGGAGAATCAGAAAAAAGGTGGACCGCAGGGGTTGAGATAAAGACAGTTTAATAGGACAGAAAAGAAAGGGAAAATAATAATGATAAAAGAATATACAAAAAAAGTGATGCAGAGTGCAACTGCTCAGCAGCTGCTGACCAATGCCCAGCCAGTCCCCTAGTGGTAACCCATGATCCATCCAGGCAAATCCTCCCAGTTTTATTATTCAATATGTCACCATCTGGTATGAGATATCCCTTTAGCCAGTTTGGGTCAGCTGTCCGAGCTGTGTCCCCTCCCAGCTTCTTGTGCACCCTCAGCCACCTCACTGGCAGGACAGTAGGAGAAGCTGAAAAGTCCTTGACTTAGTGTAAAAGCTGCTTAGCAACAACTAGAAACATCAGTGTGTTACCAACATTATTACCTCACTGGCAGGACAGTAGGAGAAGCTGAAAAGTCCTTGACTTAGTGTAAAAGCTGCTTAGCAACAACTAGAAACATCAGTGTGTTACCAACATTATTCTCATCCTAAATCCAAAACACAGCACTGTACCAGCTACTAACTCTATCCTAGCTGAAACCAGGACAGGTACCATATTTTTTTTACATATATAGATAGATATTTAAGTTCTTGAATGGTATGATTAATCCCAGGGGCGACAGCCAGCCTTCATTTGAGGCTGTGTAAAATACATTTTGTATAGTCCACAGGTGACTATAATCAAGGATTTCTCCTACAGAAAAAGCTTACACAAAGTGAAGACACCCCGTGTCACAGTTTAGGGTCAGGGCTGTCCCTAGACCTGTAACAGACACTCTTCAGTTATCCCCCCTTCCCTCCCCCTGAAAGGGAAAGGAAATAAGGGAGAGACTTAACAATTAGAAAAGAAAACAGCTTTAATGAAAATACTACTACTACTACTAATAGTAATAAGATGGAATATATACAAATATATACAAGATCTGTATCGAACCCAACTCCCCCACTCCATGGCAATACGTCACTGTCACCCCTGGCTGGGGAGCAGCCCCCAGGGACAGGTCCCAGGCTGGACTCAGCCACAGAGGGAACTGGGCACAGGAGCTGGATTCTGGAACTCAGTTCAGGAACACAGGATCAAAGGCAGGATGGACAGGGCCCTCCTCGGATGGTACCCACTGCAGGAGTAGCATAAATGGAGGAAAAAGGGAAAAGGTGGAAGAAGGGATTGACCCTCCTGATCCTTTAGCTTTGATACTGAGTATGAGTATGGAATTACCTCACTGGTGAATTTTAGGGTCACTTGTCTTGTCCACTCCTCCCCACAGGTGCAGCTTTACTTTCTGGCCCCCTCTGTGTGGTACAGAAGCTTAGCATTGGCCTTGGTCTGCACACCAGTCCCTGGCAGTAACTCTAAACATGGAATGTTGTCACTGCTAGAAGCAGACACTCTCTGTGAAAACATGCTGCTAACTTCAGAAAATGCAGTTAATCAGAAGAGCTTTAGATGAAAAGTAAAATCACGGAACAGAATTAGTTCTGTTCTACCCCAAACCAGGACACCCTGGAAGAAGTCAAATGTTTCCTCTGGTTTTCCAGCAGAACTATTAAAGTGCTGTCCAGCAGTGTTAAAGCTCTTTTTAGTCTTATATATGGTTTGGAAGAGACTCTGGAAAGCTTTTGTAGTATAATTACAGGTCAGTACAGAAGGAAACAAACCCCAGCTCTTTCCAACAGTGAAAATTTTCTGTGTTCATTTAAACATCTAGTTTAAGTTTGTTTCTACCCAACTCAACATCAATCTGGTTGAATTATAGTTGTTTGGACTAACTGTAATACTACTTTATTGTAAACAAGCAATGCTATTGCCATTCCCTGCTTTGGTGCTAAAAGGATTTTAAGGCTCCAACCATGGAATTCCAGGATAATTCAGAGTTGTTTCAAGTCTGTGTCAGAAAAGAAATTTCACCAAATTTAGAGGACCTGTGAGTTCTTCAAGCATGGTTTTGTAAAACTCCGTAGTAATACTCCTGTCGCAGTGCTATTTCATATCCACAAATATGTAAAGAAAACATGAAGTATGGACAAAAAGCCTTTAGCAGGAACTTTATTCTATGAAGTACTTACATTCACTGTCATGTACAGCAAGCTCTAGTGAAAAACAAGAACAAAAATGCCACAAACAACTGATAAAGAAAAAAACATATAAAAGGACTTCCAGAGGAGAAATCATGTTCTAGTCCATGAGTCTGGTAAATTTCAGGCTTTGAGAATGGTTTCCACCTCCTGTTCACAGATGCAATATTTTAATTTTCAGTCCTCTCCACCTGTGGATTTCTTAGGCAGAATCAAGGCAGCAGGAGGGAAATCAAAACCTTTATGACAGAGGACCTAATGCAAAAGTTACCTAAGGGCTGACAACTGGAGATGAGCAATGGTGGATCAGTACAGAGAACAAACCCCAGATAATTCAGACATCAGGTGATTTCAACTAGAGAAGTCAGAGAGGGGACAGATGACAGGAATACAGGCTCAAATACCTGTCAGCCTCACAGAGGGCATTTTAAATAAGAAGGTTTGTTGGGCACACTGACCCTAACTGTAACTCCCTTTTAGTTTTCATCAGAATGGACCAAAGGTCCAAGTTGTGCCACAAGACAAATACAAATCAACTTCTTGGAACAATATATCCTTTCTGTGCCTATCATACACAACACAAACTGTTTTATTTGAAACATAAACATTTGATTCATTTTTAAAATAACATAGCAACTACATTCCACCATCTTGTAAAATCAAAAGTATATCCTTAGGTTGCAAACTTCATTTCAGTGGTCAAGCCTTAGAAGGATCAACATATTTCATCTGAACAGTGCTGCAGAAGTAATGTTGATACAGAATTAGGTGGAAATACATAATGTCAATCTATACCCCTACTAAGGGCTTGAGGATTTTTTGTTTGGTTTTGTTTCTTCAAAAAGAAACCTACAGGACAGTATGCATCAGAGAAAACCGAAGGCAACTGCACCACAAACGTGAAAATACAGGCTGTTTAAGGTGCCATATTAATGCACACAAAATGCTCTTTCCTGTTGGATCTATCAAATGCATCAACTGATATTAAACCTAAAATGTGACCTATATTAAAAATTACCTGAGGATTCAATACAACTTTTTTGTGCCTCTGATCTCCCCATTATGGGGTTTTCTTAAAAACTTTAAAATGGTATTAGTGTTTTATGATGGTATGCCCTGAGCAGATACACAAAGGAAATTAGTTTCAGTTTCCAAGCTTCTGGCATAAAGGCAAAAAGAAGGAAAACCGTTTTCTTTTTTACATTAGGAAGAATATTGTAGTGACTTTTAAAGTAGTACATTCACATCAGTGTTTAATGTATCACTGTCTGAAAAGCAGAAAGCTTTGTAACCAAACACTTGCTTCATTCCAGCTGAGTCTTTGGCTTTATTCTACACCATGAGATCTCAGTATCTTCATTCAGAGATCTGTCTTATCCTCGTAACGACACATACATGCAGCTCTCTGGCTATCCAGGTATGGTTTACATCCTAAATGTATAACTGCATCAAACAACAGCTGAACAGTTGATTCACAAGCTGCAAACAAAGAGGAGTTCAGTTAAAAGTACCCTTTGGATAGAATATGAAAGTAACAGAAATCACTCCAGCAAACAGAATGATTCTAAGAAAGAAATTACCTTCTCCAGGCATAGCAAGTCATTCATTGTCAAATGGAAGACTGAACCAATTCACAATAATTTAATCTGAGAGTAAAGATTTTTCATATGCCAAACAAAAGGAACAAGAAAATTGATTGCATTTGAAATGTTAGCTATGTTAGAAACATCACTTAGTCCCGGAAAGATGGAAGAGCAGTTCTACCCCCTCACTTTTTCCATCCCAGTTCATGCAGAGGTTGCCATCTTTAACAGCAGCTCGACAAAACTGAATAAGTATTCACCAGTTCTGACACTAAACACTAACATCATGATTTGTTTGCAGTTAAATGAATCTGAGAAGTTCAAACATAGGTTTGTTCTAAAAACTTACTGCTCTCAGTGAGGCTGCACACTGTAAAAGTGACATTGTCCAGGTTAGGTTTATGTCATGTATTCATCAGGTGCAAGCCAACAACCAGGAGTGCCATGTTGTATTCCCACATTCATATTCCTAAATGGGAAGCATTATTTTTTCCCCCTCAAGGTTAGTTTTAACCCTGATCATTTTCCTACACAACGTCACTGCTGTGCTGTACGAGTGCCTGGGCTGCATGGCAGAAGGATATAACAAGGCATCTTTCAGCAACAGCATCAGCTTATGAAAATATGGCATTACTGCCCTGTAATTTGGATTTGGATTTGGATTTGTAATTAGCTCAGGATTCTTTGCCAAATAAGTGCTGTTAAACCTGAAAAAAAGGGGTTTTTCCCACTTACCCTGGACACTCTCTGAGATTCCAAGAGTTTTCTGCACATCTCTGCAAATTTTGGAGAGGCAGGACTGAAACTGCTCATCACAATCGTTTTTTTTATTGCCACAAGTATCATAGCATCTGTCGTGGTGATTGCAGCACTTTGTCATCGAAGGGATACCGATGTCAAACTGTGAAGAAAATCCCCACACACACTCTCCCTTGGTATTCCAGTTAAGAAAAATACAGCCTATGAACAGACTGTAACAGTCAGAAATTAAAAGCCAATGCAATCAATCCAGCTGTCACTCACTTATCCCTGTATTTTGCTGTCCACCTCTAGCAAGTTGTGATGGTTTGGCCCCACCAGCAGCCAAGCACCCACAGAGCTGCTCGCTCACTCCCTGCCCCCCTCCAGGGAAAGGAGGAGACAACAGGAAGAGCAAAAGCAAGAAAACTTGCAGGTTAAGATAATGTTTAATAGATGAATGAAAGGAAAAAAAAAAAATGCCCCAAAATAAGCAGTGCAAAAGCAATTGTTCACCACATCCCACAAGCAGATGGATTCCAGTCTGTGAGCAACAGCCACCTGGGAAGCCAAACTCACACACATTGCCACCCTCCCTTCTTCCACCACTCCAGATTTCATTGCTGAGCATGACTATGCAGTGCAGAATATCCCTCTGGCCAGTCTGGGTCAGCTGCCCCAGCTGTGTCGCTCCCAGGCTGTGCTCTGAGGTGGTGGATGGGCAGAATGAGAGAAAAAAGGTAACTCCCAAAACTGTACAATCACTCCTCAGAGACAGCCAAAACCACCAATACAGGCTTAGCCCGAAACCCCAAACAAAGTGCCATGCAGCCTGCTATGGAGCAGTTAACTCCATCCCAGGCAGACCCAGTACATGAGCTAACCCACTTTTTCTTCCTGGCACCAAGGAAAATGGATGAGGGTCAGTAAAGACAGCAAGAGGCCGAGCCAAACCCTCCACTCTCACAGGGCTACAGCTGGAGTCGTTCAATGCTTTCAAGATCACGAGAACAAAAGACTAAACCAAACATTAAAAAATTGGAAATCATCAACATTCCACTTTACCCCTATAGTATTTTATGTCAATGATGAAAATGTGCTATGTACATTCATAATTTTCCACGTGTTGTTCCCAAAGCACGTGTTGGAGCTGATAAAAGCAGGGGCACCGTACATGGATGTTGTCTCATCCTTAGAATGGAAGAGGGAAGAAACCACTTGCATCAAGGAAAGGTGATGTATAAAGGACACAGAAAGAAGCCCCCAAAATGGAAATACTTACCTGAACTCCAAACAGAGGGGATCCACAACCATTTGGTGGTGACGGTTTATATCCATAGCGAGGAAAGGGCTTTGATCCTGAAAAAGGTAATTTATCATGCCTCAAAACAGATTTTTTTTAAACAGAATTTTAGTACTATTAAAACACAAAGGCATTTGTTTGGCCTAAGGCAGTGAGTTATATTTTTAAATTGAACATATATTCACGCATCTGAATAGCAACAATTCTTACCAAATTACAACTTATGGGTACTAAGCATTGTTCTAAAAAAGGGGGACAAGACACCTGAGCAAGTGTTAATGTTAGATTCCCAAGTTAATAAAAAAAAAAAAGAGCCTGGGTTACTAAAATTGATGTGTCAGTTCAGTGTGCTGTATGTAGGATTACATTAAAGAACACCATTAATACTTCTATGGTTCATATACAATCAACTGTAATGCTCTGGTTTTTTCAGATTAACCTGAAACATCTTTTGTATTTCTACAACTCTAACGTTAATAGAATTTAAATTGGTAGAGAATACTAAAGCCACACCTCCCTGAACACCTCACTAGTGCAGCAAGGCAGGGAATTCTGCATCCCAGGCTGAGGAAGACTGTGGAGTTAAATAGAAAAATGACCCTGCACCTTGTTTCAGTAGTATTGGAAACAAACTGAGCCCACAATTAAAAGTAAGGGAGAAGAAAAAGCATGTTTGAAAAGTGCATGTTCCAGTAGAGAGAGGAAATGCCACGGTGTCCTGGCCGCTCTTGTGGAGCCGGTCAGGGTGCCGCCACCGGACTCATTTCCTGGCACAACAAATAACCCAGCCCCGCACGCGGGGGGTAAAATCGCTTCAGAAACCCCCTTCCTGGAGCATCATCGCCCGCCTGACACCCCTCTGCGGCTGCCGGGGACGACAGGGGAGCTGCCTCCAGGCAGGTTACAAAATACATATATATATA